CCCCCCCCCCCCCCAGTTGCAAAGGGGACCCTCCATCTCCAGCAGCATCTGCTCGGACTTTGCAGGAACACACACACACACACACATGCGCACAGCTATGCTTTATTAAGGCAGACTTCTCCCCACCCCCCAAAAAAACGTTTTTTCCCCCTTCTTCTCCGCAAGCAGCTTTCAGGCTTCCCTTTGTACCCCATCCCACCCACAGTGAGGTGGGCACGTCTGAAGGTGCCTGTTGCAAACTTGGCATGGACTTTGGGACGATGCCAGCCGGGTCCAGGCTTGAGATAGCAGGAGAGGATGTCGGAAAGAGAGGGCACGCTCCGATCCGTCCTGGGTCATCTGGTTATTTTGGGTAGACACACCCCCCCCTTTCCTTGCACCTGCCGTTTTACAGAAAGACCCACAGATCTGCTGGGTAAGCCTGCAGGCCGCCTTGACCAATGAGGACTTAGTGCCTTAATTGCAGCCCACGTGCTATTTGTTTTCTGTTGACCTTCAGTTGCAAAGGAGATGCGTTTACCAGCACAAATAAGGGATGGTTGCATCACAGGAGAAATTGGACAAGTTAGTGCACCGCATGCCTCTTTCAGAGGTCTTACTATTAATAGCAATAATTGATTTTCATCCTGTCTTTATTCATTGATTAGACCTTTATCCTTCCTGTATTACTTTATAGGTAACTCAAAGCTGCAAAAGTTCCTCATACTCCTCCTTCCTCTTATTTTTCCCACAAAACAACCCTGTGAGGAAGGTTAGACTGAGAGAGAGTGATTGGCCCAAAGTCACCTAGCCAGCTTTCACACTAAGGCAGGACTAGAACTCAGAGTCTCCTAGTGATTGGTCCAAAGTCACCCAGCTGGCATTCATATCTATGGCGGAATTAGAATTCACCACCTCCTGGTGATTGGCCCAAAGTCACCCAGCCTACTTTCATGCCTAAGATAGCACTTGAACTCATAACCTCCTAGTTTCTAAGCTATAGCATTTTCACCAAACTGGCTTTCATGCAGCAAACCTAACACTAATACACTTGCCTCTTATTTTCCCCATAACAACAGCCATGTGAGGTAGGCTGAGCTGAGAAAGAATGACTGGCTAAAGTTGCTATGTGCATTTTCCCTGCTTCTTCGTGTCTGTTGGATGGGCAGCACTGCATGCTTCATCACCTGCTTACTTAGATAAATCTGGTGTTTGTTTTATAAATCACTTCATGCAATTTGCTGAGAATGAAAAAAAAATTCTCATATTGCTTGCAAACGAAAAAAAGCCACAGCCTTCTGGGAATTAACGCCGTGGTAGTTTTCTGCTGGTAAAGAAAGACGCTGGTGAATCTGAACACATGTTCTTCTCTGGTGTTTGTACTGTAGCAACATTCATGCCAGTCTCATCTTACCACTACTACACAAATACACAAAGCGCGCCAGGTAATTTTACACCATCCTGTTGATTTCAGATGCCAGTCCTGCTACAACATATAATATTGCCAGATTCTCTGCAGCAGCACTCTTAAATTCATCAGAGGATGGCTTCTGGCTTAGGCTTGGGGGCCCAACAGTATACACTAGATTTCAGCGTGCATCTGGTTTGCTGCATTAGGGCACTCTGAAACTTAATACCAATAGTTTTCCGCTTGCTAACTTTTTATGCTCTTTTCTCAGTTGTTAAAACATGTATTCAATTTGTGCATCTTTTATACCTTATAGCTTTTTATAACTCATTTAAATTCACAGTTTTTATATCCTTTATGTGGGCTTCCTTTTAAGGCTGTATCCTATTCCCTTACAACAGTCTATGGCTATAATAAAAATTGATTTGCTTTGATAAAGAAAGGGAAAAGTGATCCAGCCCATTCCTTTGCTTGCAAGTTGTTAAATAAAAGACCAATTCTGAAGGCTGCCACTCTGAGGATTTCTTTCAAGCTCTATAAGGTCTAATACAATTTTTTGTCGAGCTGAACAGCAGATGTGTATATTTTAAATTGTGTTTTAATCACTTCCTTCTCCGTGGTCAAATAGTGGGAGACAGAAACAGGGCATCCATCATGAAGTGCCAATCAAGGGCCGTCTTCCTGGTAGAGTAATTCTTAATTGGTTGTCATAATTAGTTTCACACCTAGTTAACTTTTCTTTCACGTTGAGCCTTCCATGTTGGACTATTTGTGTTTCCTGTGGGTTTTCTAAAGAAATGTACTAGAAACACAAAAAATAGTCTGGTGTATTGTGACCATAAACAAAAAAAAATATTAGTGTGAAAATAATTTCACGTCTCAGTTCATGACAGACACATGCAAAATATTCCCATCAAATGTCCAGTAAGTTGATCAGATCATTAGTGGAGGTAAATGCACCCGTTTAGGTGAATATAAAAGCTATAAAGCTATATATTCTTCATAACTTTATTATTATAAAGAATAGATAACTACAAAGAATAGATGGATTTTAAACTACAGGAAACCAACCTTCATTCTCTTAATAATTTGGTATCACAACTACACTCATCCCTTGCTGTTAACCTGCAGGCTAGGATTGATGGGAATTGGAGTCCTAACAGATCAGAGGAAACCAGTTGGCCATCTGCTGCCCTGTTATGACCCAGATTGGTACATCCTGATGAATCAGATTTTGCTCCTAGTTCCTTTCTCTTCTGGCGATATGTGCACTAGACGATTTAAGTCCTGCACCTGTAAGAAAGCCCTTTTTAAATTCTTTCTACATACTCTTCTGCGGTTGCCTTACAACCTACTTGTGTTTCTGCTTGGTGGTGTATCCTTTTCCTAGGACGAATGCCCTTCCAAAGTCATGGGCTTACTTAGCTGCCTCCCTCTGTTAAAGCTGGATAACAAGTAAAGCTTGAGGTCAGTGGGGCAAACGGTTTGAGAAGCCCTCTTACTGGAAGGTATATTGAGTTAATCTCTCCTAGGATTGAATTAAACATTAAGGTCATGTTAGGCCCTCCGCAGGAGTGACTTCTGCAAAACAGTAGATTGCATGTAGTCCTCAACTTACGGCCACATTGGAGCCCAAAAATTCTCTTGCTAAGTGAGACGTTTGTTAAGTGACTTTTGCCCCATTTTGTTGCCTCAGCTCAGCTGTTCAGGGAATCATCGCAGTTGTTCAGTTAGTGACACGGTTGTTTAAGTGAATCTGGTCTTCCCCCATTAATTTTTCTTGACAAAGGTTGCAAAAGGGGACCACCACATGACTCCAGGACACTGCGACCGTCATAAATATGAGTCAGTTGCCAAGGGACTCCATTTTGACCGCATGACCCCAGGATGCTGCAACGGTCATAAGTCTGAAAAACAGTCATAAGTCATTTTTTCCCAGTGCCATTGTAACTTTGAACGGTCACTAAGTGAACCATCGTAAGCCGAGGACTGTCTGTACAGTGCTTAGGATTTGATTTGGAAGCACTTTCAGAAGTGCTTTTTGGCAGATTTAGCACTAACCTGCAACTGGTTAAAGCAGACAAATATTTTTCCCAGAACGGAAGTTCAGAGAGATTTACACACATGTGTTGTTCTGTTTGATTTGGCTACTGTTTTATGTACACACCCGGGCAATATTCATTAATGTGTAAAAAAGAAAAAAACCCACCCAAAACTAAACCCTGATGAATATTGTCAATTTATAGTATATTTTTTTAAAGATGTGATGTATGGGTTTTTTTTTCCTTTCCTAGCTTGGTTAGAGAGCTGGGTGACTTCTAAGAAAGATGCTCTCATTAGATTAAGCAGAGCAAATGATGCAAATTAAATTTGGAGGAAGATCAAAGATGACTGTGGGAGCAAAAAAAAAAAGCGATGTCTACAAATTGACATTTTTGGGCAGCCGATGGGAGCGTGGGCGTGGGTGTGGGTGTGTTGCCTTTCATTTGGAAAAGCTGGAATTGGGAACACTGAAATGCCTAGGGGAGGCCCTTGTGTCTGTGTGTATGTGTCTGCCATGCTGCATCAGTTAGTCCCCAGGGAAGAATTTCCCTGGCAGTTCTTCAAATAAAGAAAGGATGGCAGAGAGCAAGGCCATGTCAAGCTGGCTATGATTTAAAAGACTTTAAATAAGCAGGCAAATAAGAAATCCATTCCTCGCTTGTCATAAAAAGTAATGGGCGAAGGAAGACATACTGCTGACGCTGTAAATCAGTTTTGTGTTGGACTTAATAGAAGCAGGTGTGACCTTGGTGCTTACAGGTGAAAGAGATGAATCTGTACCTATTAAGTTCTCTGAGAGACGATAGACCTCTGTCAATCATCCCATATCTTGCCTGTTCTAACCTGTCTAGGATATCTCAAAATTTCAAAGCTGGATCTTGTTAACCACCCTATGTTTCTGATTTGGGGCAGCGCAATGGTGAATAGAATGTGAAGGATGTGTGTATATAATGTATGTTCTTATTTGTGGTTTTTACTTGCGTGTCGTGTGCACTGTGGACCGTGCTTAATTTCATTGTGAGTTACGCAGTGACAATAAAGATAAAGATTCTATTCTATTCTATTCTATTCCATTCCATTCCATTCCATTCCATTCCATTATTCTATTCTATTCTATTCTATTCTATTCTATTCTATTCTATTCTATTCTATTCTATTCTATTCTATTCCATTCCATTCCATTCCATTATTCTATTCTATTCTATTCTATTCTATTCTATTCTATTCTGTTCTGTTCTGTTCTGTTCTGTTCTATTCTATTCCATTCCTTTCCATTTCATTCCTTTCCATTCCATTCCATTCCATTCCATTCCATTCTATTCTATTCTATTCTATTCTATTCTATTCTATTCAGCATTTTTTAATGGTTTTGCAGTGCCTGGGAATCCTACAGACCTTGAAAGATAGAAAGTCCTGTACAAATACTGTGAATTATTAGGTTGGCCTGCTGGCTCAAAATTTGCTTGGAGCAAGTAAGCCTCAATGCCAAGAACATTGGCCTTAACAGTGGACTAAATGTTGGCTAAAAAGAGGAGGTGTCTTGAATAAAAATAGTTCCCTTCTAGTTCATCCATGCAGGATTTATTCTGGATTCTTTTTCCAGTAGTATTACCACCGCCTGCATGTTCTTTCAGAAACCTACAGCTATGATGTGATATGAAGTTTCTGTCTAAGTACAGAGTCAACCACTGCAACTTTTATATCTAGTTTCCTTGTTGCTGTGTTGTAATTCAGAACATTTACGTCCTTAAACTTGGCTGTCAGCTCTCCCATGTTAACCTGCCACTTTTTTTTACAGCTTCTATTGGCAAGAGTTATGCTTCCTCATCTTAAACTATGATTTGTCTACCAGCCCCTAGGAATTCCCTCGCCCCCCCCTCCCCAGAAATTGTCATCATACATCATTCATGGTCCTTTGCAGTAAAGCAGAGATTCCCAGCCTGGACAGCTTGCAGAGGTGGGGACTTCAATTCCCAGAATTCCCCAGCCAGTAAGGCCATTTGCTGAGAAGCTCTGGAGCTGGAAGTCTACACATCTGGACGTTGCCCTACTTTCTGTAGAACTGTTTAGCTTCAGGTCCCGGAATGTGGGAAGTTCAAGAAAGTTCAACAAAGCCACGTGTGAGATTCCGCCTTGTCACCTCCTTGTTTTTAACCTCTCTTTCTCATGAGCAGTGGCACATTGTTTCCCTAGATAGCTGTTCCTCTAATGCAGTGTTTCTCAACCTTGACAATTTTAAGGCATGTGGACTTCAACTCCCAGAATTCCACAGCCAGCATTGCTGGCTGTGGAATTCTGGGAGCTGAAGTCCACATGCCTTAAAATTGTCAAGGCTGAGAAACACTGCTCTAATAGAGGAATGACAAAAATACCTTTCTAGGAACGGGAAAGTTCAACTTCTCTTTAGCAGTTCTGGTGAGTATTGTTTTCACCAGCTTGGTGACAAGATGGCCCGAGATCCCTGCTAAAACGTGTCTCCATCACACTGATAGATAGATAAGCTAGCATTCTCAGTTCCTAGAGTTTCTCCAGGGCTGCTACAGTTACTTCAGATAATAATAAGTTGAACACAAGTGTGCTTAAAAGTACAAAAACCCACAGACGGAGACAGACAGCCTGGATGAAATTCTTTGGATTATGGCCATTTTTATTCAGTTATTGTAAATAGGCAGGTATCAGAAATCATATTCTTTTTCTTCTAGGGTTGATGGTTTTGTGTTATGAAAAAGGGTGTGTGTGTGAAGCAAAGTGTTTTGTTGGTTAAGGAAACAGAGCATGGCAGAATTCTGGATTCTCTGTGCCTCTTTATATTTGCTTCTTGCTTGATGACACAGCTGGGTGCTGCCAGAATGGCGTTGCAGACTATTTGGAACATTTTAAACATTTGTGTCTGAAAACAGGCACTGCATCGGCTCACCTGCAGAGAACCATCGTTTTGCAGCGTCCCATTTTCCGCAGTCTGCTAAGTTCCCCCTTTCAGGGTTTTCAAATCTGGGTTGAAAATTTCCTCCCAAAAGCTGTGGTCCCCCCCCCTCCGGCCCGAGATCCAGAATAAAGCAGGCAGCATTCAAATTGATGAAATAAAGGAGAATTTCCAAAGTTAAATCATGGGTGCTGAAGGGAAATAGAAAAGATTCTTTCTTTGGAAGGATGAATTTGGAGAAGGGCAAAGAAAGGCAGAAAGAGAGAGGTTACAGCCCTGCCCCGTGAAATGGATTAAATATAGGAGAGAAGAGTTAAAATAGGCATAAAAGCTGGGTGGATGGGTGACTTTGGGCCGATCACCAGGAGACTGGGAGTTCTAGTTCCACCTTATGCACGAAATCTGTCTGAGTAACTTTGGGCCAATCACCAGGAGACTGGGAGTTCTAGTTCTGTCTTAGGCATGAAAGCTGTCTGAGTAGCTTTGGGCCGATCACCAGGAGACTGGGAGTTCTAGCTCCACCTTATGCATGAAAGCTGTCTGAATAACTTTGGACCGATCACCAGGAGACTGGGAGTTCTAGTCCCGCCTTAGGCATGAAACTGGCTTTCATGCCTAAGGCAGGACTACAGCTTACAGTCTCCTGTTGATTGGCCCAAAGTTACCCCGTTGGCTTTCATGACTAAGGTGGAACTAGAACTCACGGTCTCCCACTTTCTAGCCTGGTGCCTTAACCACTGGGTTAAGCTGACTCTCTAGCTGGCTCTGCTACTGTTATCCTTTCCCTTCCTTCCTATTCAGGTTCAGCACGACGAACATAATTCCCATGCGGTTCTGGGGCCGGGTGCTGGGCTTGCAGGCCAAGCACTCCCAGTTCCTGCTGGAGGAGAAGCCCTTTCGCATCCTCGGCGGCTCAGTGCACTATTTCCGCATCCCCCGAGAATATTGGAAGGACCGCTTGGTCAAGATGAAGGCCTGTGGCCTGAACACCCTCACAACGTAAGGCTTGCCTCTTTCGCGGCTCCCTCAGCTTGGCCTCATTGCTGACTCCATTGGAATATAGGTAGTCCTTGACTTAGGACTTGTGGCTTAGTGGCCATTCAAAGTTCTGACATACATGGGGTGTACTTTACAACCCAGGTTTGGTAGTTTTGATGGTTGGGGGAATCCCACAGTCACGTGACCACACATCGGGCGCTTAGCAACCAGGTTGCGTTTACAGCTGTTTGCAGCATCCTGCAATCCCACAAGCACGTTTTAGCACATTTTTGCCCAAACCTAGCATTTATTTCTGGTTTTCGCCCAAAGCCATACCCATAGCAAACCATTGGTTCCCTTAGGAAACCCAGCATTTACTTAATGGCCATGGGGATATGCTTAACAAAGTCGTAAAATTGGGTTTGTCGTGTGCCTTCATTTGGGAGATATTTATTCACTGCCCTGTTCCAGGTATGTCCCTTGGAACCTTCATGAGGCCATCAGAGGGAGATTTGACTTCAGCGGAGACTTGGATCTGCAGTATGTATCAGGAGATCTGCCTTTTCTTTAGGAAAGAAATCCAGCAACCTAAACATCTGTTTTCTTTCTTCTGATATCTAATCTGCCTAGGCTGAATTTCTCATTCCTATACAGTACTGCGAAAAAGAGGGATGCTTTATATGAGCAAAAGCGTGAGGAGATGGTTTGAGTCGGAAATCAGATATACAGGAGGTTCTTGTGCTATTGATCATAATAAAAAATGATCAGGGGAAGAGCATTATGTACACTGTTTTGAGATGTATAAACAAAAGTAATATTTCAATAAAATCTCTATACGGCCATCAGCATAAGATCCTGATGGAGAGATAGAGAGAACGACATTTGAGCCGTGATAGCTATAACTTTGGCAAACTCTGCAAAACCTTTGACAGAACTTAGTTGGTGGGAAAATTTCATGGCTCCTTTTTAATAATCCCTACATTCTGTAACTAGGTCTTTAGATAAAGTTGGTTTCTGAGCCCTGGTGGTGCAGTGGTTAGAATGCAGTAATGCTGGCTAACTCTGCCGACTGCCAGCAGTTTGATCCTGACCGGCTCAGGGTTGACTCAGCCTTCCATCCTTCCGAGGTCGGTAAAATGAGGACCCGGATTGTTGGGAAGCAATAGGCTGACTCTATGAACTGCTTAGAGAGGGCTGTCAAGCACAATGAAGCGGTATATAAGTCTAATTGTGATTGCTATTTGGAGCTTCCTTTGCTAAATTCGAGACTGCTCTGCCTTTGCAGTGGTTTTGCCATTTCCCATTTGCTTCTCTAGGGCTTTTCTTAGGATAGCAGAAGAAGTAGGACTATGGGTGATTCTGCGCCCCGGACCGTATATCTGCTCCGAGTGGGATCTTGGTGGTCTACCCAGGTAAGTCTGAATGATTTTGACTTCTGGGTAAAATGTTACTCCTTAATGTGTGTCCGCAGCTTTCATAAGTCTACTTCTGAGGACAGAAATCTGATATTTAGAGCATAAATAGAACGGAGACGCTGGGACAGATGCAGCAAAGTAGAATGTAAGAGTCCAGGCAAACTGAGCAGTCATTCCTTTGCAGTGGGCCTTGTTTATCAAATATTATTTTATTTTAAATGTTCTACGTATCAGTAGGTTGTTTCTTCTGAAATGAAATGTATCCGGTCTGCATTGCTAATTTTGCTGTGTGTACCTTCTGATCCTTGATTGTAATAAAGAACTAATTTGGTTTCACGTTAGCAGCAAACTTTCTGCTTGGCATGTTCCAAGGAACTGTCCTTCCAAATGATATTTCTTTCCACTCAGAGCAGTGTTCCCCCATCCTTTCGCCTTCCTGACATTTTTAGATGTTGCAGCTTCAAAATATAAGTTGCAACTCCTAAACTGGAGAAGCCTGGCTTAAAAAGTTTTCCTGCAGCTTAACGTTCTGTATTCCAGTGTCAGTCTTGTCCTTCTGCTTATTTCTTCCCCATTACAAGCTTAGCAAAGTGTTATACACTCCCTCTTCTTTGTGACAGCCACCTAGATACTTAAAAAGTAGCCAAAGGTCATATACAGTATATCTCTACGGAGATTCTCAATCATCCAGGTGATGGTTGTCCCAAAGGTTTGGATTTTTTTCTTTGAAAACGTTTTGCTTCTCATCCCAGAACTGAAGAAGCCTCTTGAATGAGAAGCGAAACGTTTTCAGAGAAAAAAAAAACATCAAGAAAATCCAGTTTCCTTTTGGAAAAAAAGCAATTTTGGGATAGCCAACGGTCACAACCTATATGTACAACAGAATTCAGCTGGGTTAAAAGCCATTTCCTCTGCCTGGGGATTAAGGACGGCGAGGCTTTGAAACTGCTTCTGCTTTTCTGCCCCTCCCTCCCCAGGAATCCGTGCAAATGATGATAAGGAACGCCTCTTTGTTTCACCCCAGTCAGAAAATAGCTCTGAGTTCCTCCACGACACCCACTGCCTGCTCTTTTGGATCAGAGGTTCAGGCCAAATTCCCCACAGAAACATTTCTCAAACAAATAGGGGGAAGAAAAAAAACCACCCAGCCATCTTTTTGAATGCAAGTTCCCCGTTTCTGGGTTGAAATTGTTAGAGAAGGTGCGTCACCGAAGCCTGGCCTTCTGTTAAAGTTCTCCCCGTCACACTCTGGAGCCGTGCACAAGGGACATTTCTACCCTGCACTCCTGAGACTTAAAAGCAGGGTGGGAAGAGGGCCTGACGAATGGAGAAGGACAAGCTATCTCGGGAATTAGGAGCCCTGTCGTCAAAGCCAGGCAGATGGAGCAGGAAGAGGGGAGAAGGGAACAATAGGCCAGCTTTATGCAGGGTGACAGGGGTGAGGACTCGCCTGATGCCAGAGTGTTTTTCTTGCCACCCGGAATAAAAGCACCATTTGTTCCTTCTGCATTCAATTATTCAGCCTAAAAGCATTTTTCTGCCCTCCTTCCATTCGCTCCCTCCCTCCCTCCCCGCATATTTCACATAAAAGCAGCGGATAACGTTTTCAAGAGAATGACCCAGGCGTCCATAACCGTGGAGAGCACAAGTAGGGCATGTTGGTTTATTCTAGGCACGAAAAACAGTGATTGCATCTAAGCATCTTGATTTCTGGCCTCCTCTTCAGAGCCGACGGGGCAAAATGGAACATTTGTGGCTCAAGGTGGAACTGTGGGGTCCTGGGTGCTCTCTGAACTTGGTTGTTTCCTTGCAACGTTTCATGACCCAACTAGGCAACATCATCAGTGTTAGAAGGGAGTGGGGTTTGCTGTTTGTTTATATAGTAGCGGCTTGGAGGGTTGGAGGGAGGGTTGTTTTCCTGTTAGTTCCTTGATTGGTCTGTCAAAACACCCCCCCTCACCAGCAATTAACACCCAGATAACAAGAGATTAACACCAGTGTTGATGACAGACCAACAATCAAGCAGGAAACAAAAGCCCGATCAAGGCACTACCAACCCAGACTAACAATCAAACAAAAAACAACAGCCTAACCCAGGGGTAGGCAACCTTGGCTCTTTTATGACTCGTGGACTTCAACTCCCAGAATTCCTGAGCCAGCTATGCTGAGGGGAAAAGGAGAGTTTCTAAGCTGAGCCATGCTGGCTCAGGAATTCTGGGAGTTGAAGTCCACGAGTCATAAAAGAGCCAAGGTTGCCTATCCCTGGCCTAACCCAACAGCCACCAAGATCACTCCTAACAACAGTGACAGGGCAAGCCCCCCCCTTTCTAGCACTGATGATGCTACTTTATTTGGGTCATGTAAGATCTGCCAGAAGACCACCAAGGAACTCCACACCAGCTCCACAGAGAGCACCAGGAACTCCAGAAATGGGGCAAACTCTGGATTGGACTTAGCTGAGGAAGTCAGCTGTAGAAAGAAAGGAAGGTGACCCTGAGCTTTGGGTCTGGATCCGGCTGTAGGCAGCATGAACGTGCCAGGACTGTTCCAGGTCAGCACCTGCCACTTACAATCTCAATGAAGACAAGGGTTGCCAGTTCCAATTTTGGACTCTCCACAAACCTTTCTATGTATAATTTGCTAAGTGACCCCCAAGAAAGCCTTCTCAGTTTATTGGCCCTCCACTGCCTTTGGTTACCATCTTGATGTGAGTTACATTCTAGAACAGGAGTGTCCAACCTTGGCAACTTGAAGACGTAGAGTTCAACCCACCGAATTCCCCAGCCAGCTGTTGGGCACCCTCGCTCTAGATTAGAACATCCAGGGGTATCTGTTAGTTTCTCCACTTATTCTGAATATGATAGACCAGTGATGGCGAATCTTTTAGAGACCGAGTGCCCAAACTGCAACCCAAAACCCACGTATGCATTGTCGAGTGCTGGGTGGGTGTGGCCCATTGGCTGGGTGTGGCCAATTGGGTGGGCGTGGGCCATTGGGTGGGCGTGGCTGCGGTGGTAACAGCAGACTGGGTGGGACTAAAAAGTTCAATCAATCAATTCCAACTTTGCAAGAACTTTTTTTTCCCGCGAGAAGTTGAAATTGACTGATTGAACCTTTTTTTTTGCACATGGTGGTGGAGGCCTAAAGCGGAAAGGTTTTATAAAACCCAGCTGAAGGCCTAGGACTGGGGCAACGATGCGTGTGCCCACAGAGAGGGCTCTGAGTGCCACCTCTGGCACCCGTGCCATAGGTTCGCCACCACTGTGATAGACGAACGGCTCAACTCCGTAAAAGCCAAGTTTGATGGAAGGAGGTTTTGTTCTTTGACTGTGACCATCAACCTACAGATGACATGTCTGTGGAGATTCTCAGTCCTCCAGGTCATGGCTGTCCCAAAGATGACTTTTCAGGAGGCAACTGGACTTTCTTGTTTTTCTTTGAAAACGTTTCGCTTCTCATCCAAGAAGTTTCTTCAGCTCACACTTCCATTCCCCACCATCCAGTCAGAGCCGAAGGAGCTTCTTGGATGAGAAGCAAAAAGTCTTCAAAGAAAAACAAGAAAGTTTAGTTTGCCTCCTGAAAAAGCACCTTTGGGATTACAGATGATGTGTTGCACCGTACAAAATTTCACAGAAGCTGCCCTTAGTTACACTGGGAATTTAACCTGTGTGGGCTGATTTGGGCTGCATTCTTGGCTGATTCTCCACATACCTCCATCTTCCTTTCTAGTTACTGGAACAAATGGTTGACTTCCTCGGCTGTGTTACTTTTTTTATTTTCCTTCACTGGTTTTATTTCTTCCCTCTGGGGATAACCTGTTGATGCCAGACCCTAAAGCAATACTCTTGATGAGTCCAACGTCATCTCTGAAAATCCTTCCTAGTTACCGGATCCCAAGGGGATGTTCGACACTCACCGTCCTACTTATTTGTTTTTTTTTTTCCACTTGCCTTTGCCACCAGAGATTGGGTGTCTAGAGAATCTTAGCTCAAACAGAGTTTTTGCCTCTTAACCTTCCCCATCTTCCCTCTCCTCTTTTCAGTGAGCTGGCCCTGAGTTGGTTTTCTCTAATTCCATGCAGTTGCGTATTTTAAATGTTTTCAGACATTTAAACCTGCAATTTAAGGCAGGTTTAGAAAGGATGAAAAAAAACGTGCCTTGCATGCTAAGGCAAACTTACCCAATTTGAACTTGTATTCAAGGCCAATGCAGTCTTATGCAAAAATATCTCCCCCTTTTAAGTTCAAAAATCATGAAATGTGTAAAGATATTAAGAAAAAGTGCACATGGTCATTTCTGTAGGAAAAAACATCACGTGAAATTATATTGCATTAGGAAGAGTTTAGAAAATGCATAGGTAAAGTGAGTAGAAAAAATATTATATTGTGTCTATTAGAACTATCCCAAGATTTTTCCCTCCCCTTTTCTCCTTCCTTCCTTCCTTCCTTCCTTCCTTCCTTCCTTCCTTCCTTCCTTCCTTCCTTCCTTCCTTCCTCCCTCCCTCCCTCCCTCTTTCTTTCTTTCTTTCTTTCTTTCTTTCTTTCTTTCTTTCTTTCTTTCTCCATTCTAACAGGTGCAATGTAATCATTTTTAGCCACTTTTCCTAAGATGTGTATGTGTGTGCGCTCGCATGTGTATGAATATTTTAAAGAACGTCTTTAAGCATTTAAAAATGAGTTAAAACCAAGCTGAATATCCAGTCTGCCCCAGCCCATTTCTTTCAAGCCTGCTTAAAAATGGGAGGGGGGAGTCAAAAACTGCCAGGGGTCATGAGTTAGTTTTTTTAAAAAATTTCATCTTCTCCTATTTTAATCAATGATCTGATCATCCTCCTTCCTAGCTGGTTGCTTCAGGATCCTGAAATGCAGCTGAGGACAACCTATAAGGGTTTCACCGAGGCTGTAGATTCTTACTTTGACCACCTGATGCCCCAGGTGGTCCATCTTCAGGTAAATAACATCACCCCCTTTGTTTACTTATTCCTGGGGTTTCTTTTTAAAAAAAAAAAATCACACAATCTTTTATCGCACCAAAATTGAAAACCAGGTAGAGGCTACCCTGTCCACATGCCCCAGATTAATTTTCTAGACCTTCCGGGGATGCTATTGAATGTTCAAAGGTATCTTGCAATTGGAAAGGTCAGCGGTAAGGAGAGGACAGAGCAGGTACTTTGTGATCTACAACATCTCTGCCTGCTGAAAGCGTCCTTGACAGAGGGGACCTTTGATTTCCCATTTCCGTGTTCTGGTGAGGTTCAGCGGTTTTTCTAAGTCACTTTTAAAGTGGAACTTCAGAGCAAGCCGTGGAGAGACAAGGCAAAGCTGTACAGAGTCCTCCTCCTCCATTCATCTTCCCAAATAAAGTAATTAGATCCACCAGCTGCTCCCTATCTGCTTATGTTCTCCTGCTTCTCTTCCTAGTACAAGAATGGAGGGCCAATCATAGCCATGCAGGTGGAGAATGAATACGGCTCCTACGCCCAGGACCAAAATTACATGGCCTACATAAAGCAGGTAAAGTTATCCTTCCATCTCCTTTGAAGTTAAAAAGAAATGCTGCTGATACACATCACATAAAAGCAAAACAAGGACACACCTACACACACACACACTCACAACATCCAAGAGTTGATCTGACTGATCCCTTGAAACTGGAGTGATATTTGTTAAATTCCTTAAACTTAACATGCTGTCCGTCTCATTATCCAGCGCCTCTTGCTAACAGACAAAAGAGTACTATAGTAATATGAAAGTTACAGGGAAGGAGATGCTGGTTAAATAGTAGGATGGTTTTATTTTGTACCTTTTAATTTATTATTTTTTAAATGTGTTGGCTGCCCATCTCCAAAGTTCCTAAGAGTAATAGAGCCAGTTCTAAGAAGACATGTGAAGGTTAGACAGCCATCCATCCATCCTTCCAGTGGGGCCGCTTTAATTTGGATTCTTGCATGGAACAAGGGTGGAACTCCATGGTTCCTTCCCACTCTAGAACTCAGGGATCTCTCCTTAAAGAGGTTCCTGAGCTTTCTTGCAAACGCAAAGAGATCTCCGGGCCTTGAGCCATTCGGAACCGGGCCCCAGACGTGTCAGGCGTGCTCGCCTCTCACATGAATGAGGCGGCACGCTCACACATGCTTGCCTGCCACTTGTGGGGAATGATCCCCTCTTTCCCCCCCCCCCTCACCTGCCGATCCACAAAGCCGAAAAGGTTCTGAAGCAAATAGCTTGAGACTCATAAAATGAACCTTTGGCCCTGTAGCAAAAGACGTGGCACATCCTCCTTTGCCGTAGATTATTTTGCAAACCTGACTGAAGCTGCCTTGTAAAACCCGGTAATCTGGAGAGGCCGGCTAATTTGATTAAGGTTCTCCTTCTGTCATCTCATCCAGCAGAGGACTTTGCAGGTCACCGCCTGTGTCCTGGGCAGGCAGGCAGGCAGGCAGGCAGGCCCTGAGAGAGGATCAGTTTAAAGCTTGGCAAATCCCGCTCACGGTGGGCCCTCGTCCCTTACCTGGAGGAAACGCCAGCGCAGAGGCATTAATGCCAGGGTTACCTGGCTGGATTTACAACAGCGACTGTTCAAAGTTACAACGGCACTGAAAAAGGTGGTTTTCTGCCAGTCCTCTCTCTCTTGTGACAGTCGTTAAGCGGGTCACTATGTGACCGCACTTGATTTTACTGCCTTTTTGGCACTGGTTGTTAAAGGAATACTGAGGTCGTTAAGCAAACTCATTTTTCTCGATGAGGCAGAGGGGTTGCCTGAAATAAAAAATAAACGCAGTTTCCAGCAAAACATTTTAAATCTTGGTCATGTGACCATGAGACACTGCAAACCACCATAAATGTGGCCGAAATTTGTGGTCATATGACTGCAGAGAGGAGAGTGGCATTGTCGGAAGTTTGAATCCAGGTTGCAAGTAGCTTTTTTTTTGGGGGGGTGGCTGTAATAACTTTGAATGGTCACTGAAGGACCATTCGTAATTCGAGGACTACCTGTTCCATGTTTCTTTTCTAGTTGCTCAAGTTGGGCTATAAAAGTCTTGGCCATTGCAACATACAGATGTCTCTTTGCAGCCACCCTGTGGTGGCCTGACGTTTTGCAACCCGGATCTGTAAACCTGGTTTATATTTGTGATCCAATAAAAAGGATGCACGGAAGGTAGTTTGTAACGATTGGGCTGGAAATCCCGAGGCCTCTGCATGGATCAAGGCTGGCATCAGAAATGCCTTGATGAACAGCAGGGCTTTTTCAGCTTCTCTTGGTCCTCGTGACATCTGGGTCAGAATGTCTGTGAGGATTCTCAAACATCCAGGTGATGGTTGTCCCATAGGTGCTTTTCCAAAAGGCAGCTAGCTGGACTCTTCCTTGGTTTAACTTCGGTTAGAACTGAAGAAGCTTTTTGGATGAGAAACAAAACAAAACCATGAAAGTCCAGTTGCCTTTTGGAGAAGCACTTTTGGGAGATCTGGGTCAGAATCACACTGGTCCTGGAAAGAGTAACTCCCTTCAAAACGTGGTTTGTTCCTGATCCCGGCTTCTTCTGGGATATCAGCTCTGAACTTCAGCATGCTGATCTTTCTTTCTCGCAGGCCCTGTTAAGCAGGAATGTGGTGGAATTATTGATGACCTCGGATAATAAAGATGGCCTGAATGCCGGCACCGTAGAAGGAGGTAACCTGGGTTATTCTGGAGCAAAGTTGTGACTGAGATTAAAAAAAAAAAGTGGCACGGTACCACTTATCTGCTACAATTTTACAAAAATTGTAAAAAAAATATTGTAAAATTGGGTTTTTTTGTGTTTAAATACATGTGGGTAACCAGCAGTGCTATAAAGTATTTGCATGCCATAGAAAGCTTTTGAAATTATTCTTCTATTTAAGGCTCAGAATATGTGTACAGGTAATCCTGGACTTGCAACTATTCGTCTAAGCCAGAGGTGTCATCCGGAAGCCGCGCCCACCCCATTGCCGGCAATGGCAAAACCGTCCTGATACATTGCGTGACGTCACATGACATCGCGAGTTTGACATGTCTGATCTAAGCATTCAAAGTTTCAACAGCATTGAAAAAAGAGACCTACCGCCAGTTGATTAAAAATACGATTTAGAATTTTAATAACTTTGTTTCTCCCCCCCCATTTTACCTTGCCAATAAAGCCTCTAATCCTACTGGAAGTAGAATAAATTTGTGAGGCTAATGAGAAAGAATTTGGATATAATGCTTAAAATTGCTAGACTTGCCTGCATGGTTTCTGACACCCGATTGTTATGTCCAATTTTCCTTACTCTATGCTGACTGCATGCAAAGGATGAGTGCATAATTTATACGGCCGGCTTCCAGAATGGGTTTGTGTGTGCGTCTTTGCCTACTAATTTATTAAAACTTATTTTCATTCCATTAGTATGCTCCAGGCAAGTAACCCAATCAGATATGCAAAAAGAGCTTCACTAAATCTAATCAAAATGATAAGATGAACTTCATGATGACAGATCGCAATGCTCTGGTACAAAATTAAGGGTTTGGCCCTCTCTGCAATTAACAGAGAGATGGCCAAACCAGAGGCCAGAATGAATAAATGAATGAATGAATGAATAAAAAATGAAAAAATAAATAGGAACTAGGTATGTCTAATCTAACAAAGAGAAGGACCAGGGATGACCTGATAACTGTCTTCCAATATTTGAGGGTCTGCCAGAGGGAAGAGGGGGGTCAACTTATTCTCCAAAGCACCTGAGGGCAGGACAAGAAGTAACGGATGGAGACTCATCAAAGAGACATCCAGTCTAAAACTAAAAGGAGAAATTTCCTGACAATGAGAACAATTAGTCCATGGAACGGCTTGTCTCCAAAAGTTGTGGGTTCTCCATCCTTGGAGGTTTTCAAGAAGAGACTGGACAGCCATTTGTCCAGAGTGGTGTAGAATCTCCTGCTTGAGCAGGGGGTTGGACTAGAAGACCTCCAAGGTCCCTTCCAGCTCTTTAACTCTGTAAATAAATCTGTCCTGGGTTTTCTTTCCAAGGCTTAGTACAAATCATGTCGTTTTCTTGCATCATTCTTTTGCCCAATCTAACGTGGAGATTCTCTTTGCTTGCTTCAAAGCAGAGCCACTTGCAAGGCCCACATTAATAAACCGTGAGCGTTCAGGGCTGCTTCCTGTTGCCTCTGCCCTTTTGAAATGCAAGCCCAGAGGACTGTCCCCTGAGTAGGCTGCCCATTTGAGCTATGGCATCCCACTTAAATTGATTTCTCCTTCTCTAAGTTGCAGCCATTCCCTTCTGTGTCCATGTGGGGTCGCTCTCTCCCTTCTAGTAGTAGGGACAATTGGGGGCGGGGGGGGGAGAAAGAGCTTTGAGCCTTGTTCTGTGTTTTTGCACGAATGTGTTGACTTGCCTGCGAGCGCTTGCTCGCTCCTCGCTCATTCATCCCCTGGCTGAGAGTTGTGTGTTTCCCGGCGGGCTTGTGTGCCTCGGCCCCAGCCCCTGCTTCAGATGTCACAACAATCTGCTCATTAGAGTCAACATGTCAAGTAATCAGGAATGCGGAATAACTAGGGCCCTGAGTGATGCAACGATGACAGCCTCGGAAGAGGTGGCCGTGAGAATGCACAAAAGGGTGAATAAAAGGCAGGCTGGGGGGAAAAAAAAGGAGAAGAAAGGAAGAGTGGTCTGTTGTTGTGGATTGTTGCCCGCAAGAGAAAATGCCATCCTGGCTCGTTTAGGTGCAGTTCTGTCTTTCTCTCTCTCTCTGCCTGTCCTGTTGAATTCTGCACCTTGGATTTTACATCTGTGCTGCGTGGGGGTCTTCATTTTGGAAAGAACTAAGCCACTAGTCCTTCTGGCCTAAAGTATATTGTGTGTTGCAGTTGTGGTTGTCCTGAATAGACATTACAGGTAATCCTTGACTTACAATATTTCATTTAGGGACCATCCAAAGCAGGGGTCTTCGAACTTGGCAACTTTAAGACTTGTTGACTTCAACTCCCAGAATTCCTCAGCCACAAGTCCACAAGTCTTAAAGTTGCCAAGTTCGAAGACCCCTGGTTCAAGGTTACAACGGCAAGGAAAAAAGGGACTTATGGTCATTTTTCACACTTAATGGCTGTTGCAGCATCCCATAATCAAAATTCAGGCTCTTGACAACCAACATGTATTTACAGTGGTTGTAGCATCCCGGGGTCATGTGATCACCATTTCTTACCTTCCCAGTTGGTTTCTAAGCAGCAAAATCGGGTGTGTGTGTGTGCAAATTTGCTTAACAACTCGTGATTCACTTAACACCTGCAGTGATTCAGTAACACTAACAGAATAACAGAGTTGGAAGGGGCCTTGGAGGTCATCTAGTCCAACCCCCTGCTCAGGCAGGAAACCCTATATCATTTCAGATAAATCGCTGTTCAGTCTCTTCTTAAAAACTTCCAATGTTGGAGCATTCACCGCTTCTGGAGGCAGGTTGTTCCACTGGTTAATTGTTCTGACTGTCAAGAAATTTCTCCTTAGTTCCAGGTTGCTTCTCTCCTTGATTAGTTTCCATCCGTTGCTTCTGCCTTCAGGCGCTTTGGAGAATAGCTGGACTCCGTCTTCTTTGGGGCAGCCCCTGAGATATTGGAACACTGCTATCATTTCATCCCTGGCCAAAAAGGTCGTACGATTGGGCGTGACACCCTTAACAACTGCCTTACTCAGCCACAGAAATGCTGGTCCCAGTTATAGTCCATAAGCCAAGGATTACCTGTGGATTAACTGCTATTGTAGCCTAGTTGAAATCTTTTCTTTTTCTGCCCATTTTCCCTCTTTCTCAATAGCTTTGGCCACTATCAACTTTCAGAAGATGGAGCCGGGACTCCTGTCCTCCCTCAACAAACTGCAGGTAAGGAGGCGGCTTCCCAAGGTCAGACTTTTCATCTTCTAATGCTCTTGTTGTGTGTTTTATGGTCTGAAAACAAGGAGGGCGCCAATTGCAAAAAAAAAAAGCCAAGTTTTCCGATTCCTGGAACTGTATTTATCACTGCCTTCCAAACGTAAATCCTTCCCCGGTTTCCTTGGGGTACATTTCCCGCAGCCCAAAATAAAAACGGTCATCAGAGAGCCATAATTGGTCGCTGCTCAATTGTGCCCCAAAGAATTTATATCCAGACAGAGTTGGCTTTCGGGAAATAGATTTACTTCATGTGCTGGGGGAGGACTGTCTTCATCCTTCTTGTCAACCATCAGTAAATAACCCACGGAGAAGCTCATTGATTCCTCTGCTGGTCCAGGATCGGGATGTGAAGAAAGTCATTTCCATTTTCATTGAATCCCATCCTCGTGTTCTGTGTTCATTTGATTTTTAAAAAATGCATTCGTTCTCTGATCTTCCCCCAGGAGGTCTTTCAAAGTGGCTTATATCTCAATAAAACGAGATAGTTCTTGGCCTGTAGGCTCGAATTCTAAAAGATACAGCATTCAAGGAAAAAGAGACGGGAAAGAAGAGAGAGAGAGAAAAAAAATGAAAATTCAAGGATGAGTTAATATATCAGAATGGTATTACGGTCCAGGAGACTAAATTCTAGTCCCGCCTTAGGCATGGAAGCTGGCTGGGTGACTTTGAGCCAAGCACCAGGAAATGGGGAGTTCTAGTTCTGCCTTAGGCATGAAAGCCATCTGGGTGACTTTGGACCTATCACCAGGAAACTGTGAGTTCTAGTCCCACCTTAGGCATGAAAGCCGACTGGGTGGCTTTGGGCCAGTCACCAGGAGACTGTGAGTTCTAGCTCTGCCTTAGGCATGAAAGCCGACTGGGTGAGTTTGGGCCAATCACCAGTAGACTGTGATTTCTAGTCCCGCCTTAGGCATGAAAGCCGACTGGGTGACTTTGGGCCAATCACCAGGGGACTGTGAGTTCTAGTCCCGCCTTAGGCATGAAAGCCGACTAAGTGGGCCAATTACCAGTAGACTATGAGTTCTAGTCCTGCCTTAGGCATGAAAGCCAACAAGTGGGCCAATTACCAGTAGACTGTGAGTTCTAGTCCCGCCTTAAGCATGAAAGCCGACTGGGTGACTTTGGGCCAATCTCCAGGGGACTGTGAGTTCTAGTCCCACCTTAGGCATGAAAGCCGACTAAGTGGGCCAATTACCAGGAGACTATGAGTTCTACTCCTGCCTTAGGCATGAAAGCCAACAAGTGGGCCAATTACCAGTAGACTGTGAGTTCTAGTCCCGCTTTAGGCATGAAAGCCGACTGGGTGACTTTGGGCCAATCACCAGGAGACCATGGTTTGACAGCTGCCTAGGCTACCTGAGAGAGGACTTCAAAAGGAGACCCTGTTTTCACCTGGTGGGTTTGCCCTTTTTCAGCGTGACATGCCAACGATGGTGATGGAGTACTGGACTGGTTGGTTTGACAGTTGGGGAGGACCTCACAACGTGTTTGACGCGGATGGTAAGTTCTTTGCTGGTGCAATTCCTTCTCCACCTGCTTCAAAGCAGAGGCAAAGAACAAGCTGTTCAAACTTTACTAACTTCAAACAGGCTGTTCTTTGCCTCTGCTTTGAATGTTTACACTTCCATTTTCTGAGATCACCAGCCGCTCAGAGTCCCTTGAACTGCGAGACGGGCGTCAAATAAATTTGATAAATAAATAAATACATTTTGATAGCAGCGCCTCGGTTGCGGACTTCTGCTCTTAACACTGAATCTGATTTGTCTTCCATGCACCCAGGGGAAGGGGAAAAAAAACCCTACATTTATTTTTAATGTTTTGAAGCTTTTAATTCCTCCTCAGGTTTTATGACTCCTTTAAATATAGCCAGTTGCCCCTTTATGGTGCAGCAATTTCAGCTGGTTTAATTCAAGCTGTCAAAAGAGACCTTGAGCTCCCTGCCCTGAAAAATGGATGGCAGAACAAAAACTCAACAACATCATTTTAATTTTCAATGCGAAGATATAAACCGTTCTTCTCCGCTCCCCGAGAACAATCATCTGGGTTTTGTTTTTTTTCTCCTTTGGCTGTGGGAATTGTAATCATTGTACGAGAATAAAAGTACAAAGTACAAAGTAAAGTAGAAGATATTCAGTGAGAGTTATTTTCAAGCATTTATTTTTTAATTCAGTGTTGGGGCTAACTGACTTTGGCTTATGATTAAAAAGAAGCAATGTAGTTTTTTAAAAAAAATATATATATGTGGATACAGCTGACCGGACGATTTGTGCTTATCACAAAAAAAAGCCAAAAGTCATAGGAAATCAATAACTATCCTGGGAAAACATCCATAGTTTTAGTGGTGGTAGTTAGAGGCCTACAGGGAGAGGCTGTTCCAGAGGATGGGTGTAAACTTGGCAAAGCAAAGCCCCATTTTTAACATTCTTTGCAAGGTCAACTCCTGGAAGGATCGCTTGCTGATTCTGCTTCAAAAGGATGTAAACACTTAACACAATTCCACGTACTAGAATTGACTGTAGAGACCCAGGTTCATAAGTCCAGTTTAGCATATGGGTTGATTGAGTGATTTGGGAACAGCTTACCCCTAGAAATTGTGGGCGCTCCATCACTGGAGATTTTAAAGAAGAGACTGGATAGTCACTTGTCTGAAATGGTATAGGTTCTCCTGCTTGAGCAGGGGGCTGGACTAGAAGACCTCTAAGGTCCCTTCAAGCTCTATTCTATTCTATTCTATTCTATTCTATTCTATTCTGTAATTTCTATTCTATTCTAATCTATTCTATTCTGTAATTTCTATTCTATTCTATTCTATTCTGTAATTTCTGTTCTGTTCTGTTCTGTTCCGTTCCGTTCCGTTCTGTTCCGTTCTGTTCTATTCTATATATGGGATCGCTCATCCACAGCCTAACTCATCTCACAGGGTTCTTGTCTATGGAGATTCTCAGTCATCCAGGATGTGGTTGTCCCAAAGGTGCTTTTTCCCAAAGGCAGCTGGACTTTCTTAGTTTGTTTTTTTTTTCTTTGAAAAATAATCAAATCCTTCCATTTCCCACCAGTCAGTTAGAACCAAAGAAGCTTCTTGCATGAGAAGCAAAACGTTTTCAGAGAAAAAACCCCAAGAAACCCAGGGATCTTGTAGTAAGCTTGCTCATTGTGCTCTTAAGTCGTCACAGTCATGAAGCAGCCCCAAAGGTGCTTTTTCAAGAGGCAACTGGACTTTGTTGTTTGTTTTTTGAAGACGTTTCACTTCTCATATGAGAAGCTTCTTCAGCTCTGAAAACATCTCCGAGAAAAAACAACGAAAGTCCAGTTGCCTCTTGAAAAAGCACCTTTGGGACAACCATGACCTGGATGACTGAAAATCTCCATAGTCAGTCATAAAGCAGGTCATTACCTCGCTATCCTAGTTTTAGGATTTGTTTTTGTAGTCATTGTTGAACAAATCACCCGGGTTGGTTAAAAGAATCCGCAACTCTTAAGCAAATCCATTGTTTGCTTTGAGGCATTTTTGCCAAAAAATGGAAGTAAACAGCAAGCGTTCAGCAAAAAATGTCGTAAATCACAGTCATAGTGACAGGACACTGCTATAAATGCCTGTTACATGACCACAGGTGAGGGACCCGCCCCTCAGAACTTTAGAACTGGGCCGTAAGTATCTTTAAGGGAGGTCTTCATAGCTATGAACAGTTGCTGAGTGACTTCTTGCATAAAGTCAAATAGCAATAGTAGCAAGATTAACATCCGGTGCCATGCGACACTCGAAGCCATGTTTGTCTCCGCAGAGATGCTGGAAAGGATTGAAGACGTTCTCCGATCAGGAGCATCCATCAATCTCTACATGTTCCACGGAGGGACCAATTTTGGATTCATGAACGGTGCGCTGCATTTTAACAACTACAAGGCAACCATCACCAGCTACGGTAAGGTTCCATTGGCTGACTGGGCCTGGCTTGCAAGGGATGCTGGGAGGTTCAAGGCAGAAGAGTTCCGCTTAGTTCCCAATTAGGAGAGCGCCTGGAATGGAACAATCTCACTGGAAGAAGGAGGAGCTTCCCTGAAATGACGGTCATTTAGCCAAGTGACAGGGTGTCAGGCAATAATCAGTGGGGTGTCACTGGTATCTTGTTCAAATGAAAGTCAAAAATGTGATGGGGAACAGTTTCAAATCTCCACCAAGCCCTGACGCTTGTAGAGTTGGAAGAAAGCAAATAAGATGATTAAAGGCCTGGAGACTAAAACATATGAAGAACGGTTGCAGGATTTGGGTTTGGCTAGTCTAGAGAAAAGAAGGACTGGGGGGAGGGGGACATGATCGCAGTCTTCTAGGATTTGAGAGGTTGCCACAAAGAGGAGGGGGTCAACTTATTTTCCAAAGCACCAGAAGGCAAGACTAGAAACAATGGATGGAAACTCATCAAGGCGAGAAGCAACCTGGAATTAAGGAGAAATTTCCTAACAGTGAGGACAATTAACCTGTGGAACAGCTTGCCTCCAGAAGTTGTGGGTGCTCCATCACTGGAGGTTTTTAGGAAGAGACTGGACAGCCACCTGTATCAAATTGTATAGGGTCTCCTGCTTGAGCAGGGGTTGGACTAGAACACCTCCAAAGTCCCTTCCAGCTCTTTTCTGATCGATTAAAATTGCTACGATGTCCTACCTGCGTTTGTACAGTGAATTTAAGAGTGGGCTAAAAATCAGATTATGGGTATGATTGTCTTATAATGTGGCATGAAGCAAGCTATCACAATATGCCACAATACAGGGCTCTCCAAAGTTGGCCACTTTAAGACTTGCTGGCTGACGAATTCTGGGAGTTGAAGTCCACAAGTCTTAAAGTGGCCAAGTTCGGACACCCTTGCCGCTTCGTTTTTGCAAGCAAAGAAAACAAAAGTTGTGTTTTGTTAATCAAGTTTAAGATTGAACATGTTATCTGAGCTGTGGCTGGGCTCTTATATCATCTTTTCTCTGGTTACTAAATGAACCTGTTTTTTAAGGGTCTCATAATTCACGCTGAACTGATCAACTGGCCCAATGGGAACAGAAACCCCAAAAGATTAAACCTGGATTAAAACTATCCAAGATTACCAATAAAGGAGAATATTTGTAGCTCAGGGTTGAAATGAGGGGTCCTTGGTGCTCTCTGAGCTTGGTTGTTCTCTTGCAGACATTTCGTTACCCAAACTAGGTAACATCATCAGGGCTAATGATCAGTGCTAAGGTTAGCCTGTTGTGGGAATGTCAGCATTGGGAATGTCAGCATTGGGATTGTTCCTAGCCTGGTTAAGAGGGTTTGGTGAATCCAGCCTGTGTGTGTGTGTGTGTATGTGTGTGTTTGTATGTGTTGTTCTTGTAGTGATTTCCATGACATGCACCTATACATAAGGTAAACTAGGTTTTTTTTGCTACCTGCTCTACTTTTGTTTTGTTTTTTCAGATTATGACGCCGTGTTGACTGAGGCTGGAGATTACACCGCCAAGTACTTTAAACTGCGCAAGCTTCTTTCCAGCATGATGGGTAACTGCATGAAAGAAGGGGCGGCTTCTCTGCCCTCTCTAAATGCTGGGGGGGGCGGAGGAGTCCGGCTTGAAAAACGACTCTCCCCCAGTGGGTGTGTTGAGCCCCCCTGCTGCTTCCAGTGCAGCTTCATTCTGTTGATCAGCCAGCGGGGCTGCTTTCAGCAGAGTGGGGAGAGGATGGAAGGAGCGGGGGGGGGGGAGTTTTGTTATGAGACTGGCCCTTGGGGGGCTTCCAAGGTGGTGAGGAAGGATGAGTCCTTATAACCACATCGTTGGTGGACTTAAAGCAAATGCTGACTGGAAAGAGGAGAGAGGCAGCGGAGAGGAGGGGAGGGGAGAAGGAAGGAAGGAACGAAGGAAGGAACGAAGGAAGGAAAAGGGAGGGAGGGAGGGAATGGAAAGGGGAGGGAGGGAGAGAGAGAAAGCTTTGTACATCCTCCCCTTTTTCTTCCTTCTTTTCTTTCTTTGATCCTGGGAAGAAACTGTTTCAGTGCCATCACCTTTGAGTTGGGCTCCATTCTGGATGAATACATTCCGGAATTTTCTTGGTAGTACAGTAACACAGTGTTTTACCATCGCCTTCCTCCAGGCTATGAAGTTGTTGTTTTTTCTTTTTCATTTTAACCAATTTAGCCAGGAGCCCTAACATTTCCTCCGTTTAGTGTTAACTGGGTCTGACCAGGCTTAGCTTGTGTAGATGAGAGAAAGACCTTCTTTCCTTCCTTCCTTCCTTCCTTCCTTCCTTCCTTCCTTCCTTCCTTCCTTCCTTCCTCTTCCTTCCTTCCTTCCTTCCTCTTCCTTCCTTCCTTCCTTCCTCTTCCTTCTTTCCTTCCT